TTTTTTTTAATGTTTTATTTATTTCTAGGAGAGAGAGAGAGAGAGAGAGACAGCGTGAGCAGGGGAGGGTCAGACAGAGAGGGAGTCACAGACTCTGAAACAGGCTCCAGGCCCTGAGCTGGCAGTCAGCACAGAGCCCGACGCGGGGCTCGAACCCACGAACCACGAGATCATGACCTAGGCGAAAGTCGGACGCTTAACCGACTAAGCCATCCAGGCGCCCCTTTAATTTTATATTTCTAATAAGAACGTATCCATATATTATTCATCTAATTAAGTATAATTTAAACATACACACATTGAGGGTCATATCATGTTCATGTTCATGGATTGAAAGATGCAATATTTAAAGAATTAGTTCTTCCCCAAATTAGTTTATAGGTTCAGTGCATTCACAATCAAAATCCTAATGCTGTGTGTGTGTGTGTGTGTGTGTGTGTGTGTGTGTGTGTAGAAATAGGCTGATTCTATAATGTGTGAGAAATAAAAAGGGCAAGTATAGCTAAAATACTTTAATATTTTTGAAGAGGAACAGTAAGGAAGACTTGCTGTATCAGCTATCAAGATTTATGATAAAGTTATAGTAATTAAGACAAAGTAATATTGAAGCAAAGATTGATAAGTAGGCCAAAGAGACAGAATAGAGAGCCCTGAAATAGACCCACATGTATATGGAGTCTTAATTCATGACTAAGATGGCATCAGAGGGCTGTCGGGAAAGGACTGTCATTGTAATAAATGGTGCTGGGTCAATTTGATCTATATGGAAAAGTAGAAACCTGGCTTCCATCACAAATCATAATTAAAAATGGATTCCAGACAGGGGCACCTGGGCGCCTGCATGGCTCAGTCGGTTGAGTGTCCAACTTCAGCTCAGGTCATAATTTCATAGTTCGTGAGTTCAAGTCCCATATTGGGCTCACTGCTGTCAGCACAGAGCCCACTTTGGAAACTTTGTCCCCCTCTCTATCTGCCCCTCCCCCACTCATGCTCGCTCTCTCTCAAAAAAAAAATAAACATTAAAAAAATCCCAGATAGATTGAAATCTAAATATAAAAGGCAAGACAGTAAGACTTCTAAAAGACAATGATAAGAATCTTTATGAACCTGGGGTAGGGCAAGGTTTTGAAAAACAGATCAGAAGCACAAACCAGAATGGATTTGATAAATTTGGTACATTTAACTTAAGAGCGTCTATCTAAGAAAATACATTATAAAGGGAGTGAGTGGGCTAGACAAGTAGAAGATATATACAACACGCACAACTGACGATGGGCTCATATTCAGATATAAAAGTAACTCCTACAAATTAACAAGAAAAAGACCACTCAAGAGAATAATGGGCAAGAGATTTGAACTGGCACTCGATAAAATAAGTCAATAAGCATGTGACTTGGCAACCATCCTCATTAGTCATTTAAAACCACACCAAGGGTGCCTGGCTGGCCCAGTCAGTTAAGTGTCCAACTCTAAATCTTGGCTCAGGTCATGATCTCATGGTTTGTGGATCAAGCCCCACATCAGGCTCTGTGCCAACAGCACAGAACCTGCTTAGGATTCTCTCTCTCTCTCTCTCTCTCTCTCTCTCTCTCTCTCTCTCCCCCTCTCTCTCTCTCTCTCAAAATAAATGGTTAAACTTAAAAAAATATTTAAAAAACCACAATGAGATATTACTATACACCCACTA